CCTGTAATAATGCTATTGTTCAGGTTTTCCTGAACTTTACATACTGTAATGAATACTACATTTATTTTATTTTTTATTGCAGGTACTTATATAGTGCTGTCAATTTACGCAGCGCTTTACAAACATATTGTACATTCATATCAGTTCCTAACCCTCAAGGGGTGTACAATCCCTAACTTACATTCATACATACATGTGCCAATTTAAACAGGATCCAATTAACCTACCAGCATGTCTTTGGAGTGTGGGAGGTAACTGGAGTACCTCGAGGAAACTCACGCAGGCACAGGGAGAACATACAAACTCCAGGCAGTTGGTACCGTGGTTGGGATTCCAACCAACGACCCTAGTACTGCCAGGTGGAAGTGCTAACCATTTAGCCACTGTGCTGCATCCTGTTGTCCATTACTGCATTGATTATAATAGTGGCAATTGTTTGTATCTGTTTCTCTCTTTTAAATAAAAATATATCTGTTAAAAAAAGAAGGTGTGCAGTCCTTTTCTAGTGCCCTGATAGGTCAGCTGCTTTAATACTGTTATACTGCATTCAGTCTATTTAGCATTACAAATGTCAAACAAGACAGGTTGTCTGCTGTGATAGTTATGAAATTAGTGTAAGAAATAAAAAACTCAGAGACCTTGCAATGCTGAGGGCTATTGTAAGGCTATTTCTCACAAGGAACATTATCAGGATAGCGTTTGCGTAGTCACCTGGTGTTTGCATGAGTTTCCTCTTTGCAGTTCAGTTTTTGCCACTGGCAGGCTCACCATCTTCCACCAAAAAGACCTCTAGGGTATGTTTAGTATGACCATTGCCAGAAACATTAATGTATAAATTCATCTAGAGGGGAAAGCAGCTGAATGGCTCTATAAACTCAAAATTTTGCTGGATTGGCTGACACTGTGGGGGCTATTTACTAAAACTTGAGAGTAAAAAACTCTGGTACAGCTCTGCATAGTAGCCAATCAGCTTCTAACCACAGCTTGTTCAATTAAGCTTTGATAATAAAACCTGGAAGCTGATTGGTTTGTGTGCAGAGCTGCACCAGATTTAGCACTCAAGTTTTAGTAAATAAAATTTCAAGATTCAATTTCAAACACAACTAAATGTCATATTTTTTTTGTGCAGTTGGCTGAATTGGATGCAGGGACACACTGGAAGCCTTTGCTGTCATTTTACTATAGCTGGGTGTCACGTGCGTCCCTGTACCTTTAGGGAAGGGTGGGCTTCTCCAAGCACACCTGCCTTCAACCTATCCATTGATATATGTGCTCCTACTATGGAGGTTCTGGATATTTTAGAGTTAGGCCACAGTATACAGAGGACCCTTGACAAGGGACTGTGGCTTGCACATTTGCAAATGTGTGCAAACAAAACCCTGTTTTTAATGCAAGCTGTTAGGGCAAGATTGGTTGTTTTGCAGGCTGGCTGGTAAGTGTGCTGGCAAATCTTTTTTTGTTTGTGATGTGCATTGCCTTTCCATGTGCACCTTACTGCTAAGGTTGTAGGTTGGGACGGGGCCATTTTTTTTGTGTATTTCATATTGTTTCTGGTATTAAAGTTCCAGTTTTAAATAGGAAGACAAGGGCTCATACAGATTGGGCCTCCGATGGGGCAGAGATGGCAACAAAATACTTATGGGGAAGGATTAGAACATCTGTTCAATTTTATGCATGACCTGTGTGACTCTGATTCCTCTACATGATGTTATATGGTTATGGTCTCTGATCCAGTGTTGTTAAAGAATATGTAAAACCAGCGTTCCTGATATGTGCCTGCTGTACCATGTACTTGTATGAAAAAGTATTCTGTTCTCTTTGTATTGCTTCCTTTGTGTGAAATCCCTGGTGTTCCTGCCAGACCCTCTGCTTTCCTATTTAAAAAATGACTACACTAGGCAGGAGAGCACAGCAAGGTCAGTCTGAGAGTCCCTCTGCTTTCCTACTGCTGTCCACCATGGGCAGTTCTCTAGCTGTGCTGAGAGCCCAGCCTGCTCACATCCAATGATAAGACTGGCCCTGACACCCCCCATCCCTGCACAGCCTCTCACTGGGAAGACCAGTGCACTGCTGTTTCTCCTCCCGTAGCTCTTATGCAGCTGAGAACAGAGATTAACTTCTTGCCGACCGCGCATAGCCGAATGACGGCTTCACCGCGGCCGGCCAGTTCTGAGTGGACGTCATATGACGTCCTCCCAGAACGCGCTCTCCTGCGCGCCCCAGGGGGCGCGCACCCGGCGATCTCCGTGATCGCTGTGTCCTACGGACACAGCTGATCACGTGATGTGGTGAAAGGCCGATCCCACCGGCCTTTTACCACGTGATCAGCGGTGTCCAATGACACGCTGATCACAGGGAAATGCAAGTGCCGGTTCTCGGCTGCACTTTCCTCACGCTGTCAGATCGTGAGGAAAGTACTGCCGAGAACCGGCAGTTGTCAGAGCGGGGATCGGCACCGATCATCAGGGCACTGATGATCAGTGCCCTGATGATCGGTTCCCAGCAGTGACACCCGCAAGTTCCGCCCAGCAGTGCGCCCACTAGCCCCCCGCCCACCCGTTCCCAGCAGTGCCCCCCCCACCTGTGCCCAGCAGTGCCCCCACCTGTGCCCAGCAGTGCCCCCACCTGTGCCACTCTGCAGTGCCACCTACCTGTGCCCAGAAGTGCCACCTACATGCGCCCAGCAGTGCCACCCACCTGTGCCCACCCACCAGTGCCACCCACCTGTGCCCACCCACCAGTGCTGCCCAGCAGTGCCACCCACCTGTGCCCACCCACCAGTGCCACCCACCTGTGCCCACCCACCAGTGCTGCCCACCAGTGCCACCCACCAGTGCAGCCCAGCAGTGCTGCCAGTCAGTGCCACCAGTCAGTGCCCAGGGGTTGTGCCAGTCAGTGCCGCCAGTCAGTGCCCAGAAGTGATGCCAGTCAGTGCCGTCTATCAGTACCCATCATCAGTGTCACCTATCAGTGCCGCCTATCAGTGCTGCATATCAGTGCCGCCTATCCGTGACCCCTAATTAGTGCTGTCTATCAGTGCCGCCTATCCGTGCCACCTCATTAGTACTGCCTATCAGTGCCCTTTAGTGCTGCCTATCAGTGCCCATCAGTGCCGCCTATCAGTGCCCATCAGTGCCGCCTCATCAACGCAAATCAGTGAAGGAGAAAAAATACCTGTTTGAAAATTTTTATAAAAGAAACAAATAAACTTTTTTTTTTTTTTCAAATTTTTTGCACTTTTTTAAATTTATAGCGCAAAAAGTAAAGCGCCCAGTGGCGATTAAATACCACCAAAAGAAAGCTCTATTTGTGAGAAAAAAATGATCAAAATTTCATATGGGTACAATGTTGCATGACCGCGCAATTGTCAATCAAAGTGCGGCAGCGCTGAAAGCTGAAAATTGTCCTGGTAAGGAAGGGGGTATAAGTGCCTGGTAGGCAAGTGGTTAAATAATGATAAAAAAAAGGGGAAAAAAAGTATTTATAATGTTTTTTATATCTACACACAAATGTTTTGCCTTTCATTTCTATTTTAACTGTATGGGTTGTTTTACAAGGTGAAGGTTTACAATTACTTTAAATGTCATCGGGTTCCATGCAAAATTTAAATAAACACATTTAAAAAGCTTTATGTATGTCCTAATATCCTGGTGACACACATTCCCTTCATTTCTTGTCCTGGTATCTCAGGAACAATAAGTGATGTTGAATCTCTCTAGTTGTGTCACAAAAATAAAACTGACTACGTTCTAGTCCATTTTAATTCTGTACAAAATTAACTTTTGGCCCTAATATTCATTTCCAGTTTAAATGGGAATCCACATAAGCAAAGCTTTCTCTGTTATCAGAACTGGATTCTAAAAGAGAAATGTTTAGCTTTATCATTTGTCCAACCAGATATACAGTAATGATAGACAAAGAGAGCAAAGTGCACGACTAAGTGTAGTGTATGTAAATATTTATTAAAGGAAGACAATTAGCAACTCACATAAAGTAAGACAAATTATGCATATCATGGTTCCCAAAATGATTCCCATCTGGGGAGGACACCAAGGAAACTGTCACAATGGATACACTGGATATGGTCTAGTCCGATCCACATGTGCTGCTTCCTGTACTGAGGTTGCTTGTTCACCCCGGCTACCACACTACACCCCTTGCAGCAGTAGCAGCTCCATCTTGGGATCCTGGATGCCTTCTCCTCACAGCTGCAGATGCACCAATGACTGTAATGCATGAGATCATCAATGCATTGTGAATTGCCAATTATTGTGTGCTGTGTCCACCCCTCCAACCTGCTGAGCTAATTGTCTTCCTTTATTAATTGTTTACGCACCCACTACACTTAGTCTGCGCACTTTTCTCTTTTTGTCCCTTTTCCACTTATACATCTCTTCCGTCTCTCAGAAGTGCTGCACTAAGTGTGTTGGACTGGATTCTTCAGAGGTTCCTAAAGCCATAAGATTTATCCTGAGGATTTGGACCACACTGTGCTTTCCATCAATGTAGTTTGTCTCCGCCCTGGCTGCACCCATCGCACCAAACCAAACTGACAAATCTTTTCTTTATATAGTAATGATGGTCTGTCAACATGTCAGACAAGACACATACGTTTACAAAGGTATAAAAACTGGAGCTAGCTATTTACGGAAGATCCAGAGCACTCCTTGTGTGCCTAATGCACTCAAGATTTAGAAGATGAATTGGGATTCCTACCAAATCTGTGAACACCCTTTGAACCAGGGCTTCTATTTATAAAGGTTTACATGCCCAATTAACCAAGGAACAGAAAAATCTTTATAAACAGAACCCTAACTGTTAAAGTGCTGCCTAAAAGAGAGATCCTTCCCCAATCCTTTGCCCTTGTCTGTAGATAGCTACATGGCTGTATGCCGTGCTTGACACCATCACACGAGTCAGGAGGATGAGGTTTAGACAAAATCTTAGTTAGCATATATGAATAAGATCAATACATTGTATAATATAAAAAAAACAATCACCTGTAGAGCCACGGTGGAGTTCTTCGCAGGGTATTTCCCCACCAGTCCTTGTTCTTTTCGCTTCTTGAATTTCCTAAAGTAGTCCTGTATCAGGAAGGTGGCATAGAACTTCCCCACGGTTACCTCATCATCTAAATGAACAGACAAATCTTTCCCAAGTCAGCAACATTCACGATCACTCTGAACACTAGCATCTGAAAAGAAATGTGATGGATGCAGCGGATACTAAGCTGTGCAGAAGAAACTAGCACAGGACACCGACAAGCAAGCAAGATGAAGATGAAGGATCTGAAGGAGAGATGATAAGGGAGATCCAGCTAGACAGAGTGCATCTACTACATGCTGGAAGTGAGGATCAGTACTTGTTTAAGCTGAAGTAATTGGTGTACAAAAAAGGTGGGCTGTACAGTCTTGGGGTCCTCAAATACATTATTAAACTCATATTTTTCAAACGTGTTTTAGATATGTATAAATTGAAGAGTAGATAGGTTGAACACTGGGGGAGATTTACTAAAACTGGCGCAAACAGAATCTGGTGCAGCTTTGCATAGTAAGCAATCAGCTATTAGGTTTTATAGTCAAAGCTTAAATGAACAAGTTGAAGGTAGAAGCTGATTGGTTACTATGCACAGATGCACCGGATTCTGTGTGCACCAGTTTTAGTAAATCTCCCCCATTGTGTAGTTATATATCAAATTATGGCTTCCCATTAGTTTACAGCTGCTATTGCCTAAGATAAGCAGATTGCGCTGCAGCCTTGAAACAGCTGTTTTAAAATTCCACTTTTGCAAGTGAAGGCAGTCATGCTACCAACTACCCTCTGTACCCTGCCACTTAAATGCTGGAAGTAGATGCTCAGTCCTCTATTTAAAAAAAAGATATTGTTAGTAAAATAAGGTCACTCCCATTCTCCTGATAAAGTAAGTGTCAGTACTGCTCTTAGCAACAGCCATGACACACGTATGACAAGAGGTAGGTGTTCAGCGTGCTTGGATCCTAATGGGAATACAACTCACATTGGATGGCAAGCCCAATGTGCTTGGGGAGCACAACAGCTAGAGGATGTTGGATGTATGTGAGAAGAGGTGTTCACAAACTTAAAGTGTCATGTAACAAGAGGTGCTCCTTTTAAATAAAGTCCGGGGTAAAAAATCCATCACTTTCATACATGAGGTTTATCCAAGTTAGCAGGCCAAAGGATTGTTAGACGTTTTCTACACTAACGCAGGCCATAGATGACACAACGTTCTTTCCTGCAACCACGGCTTTTAGGAAAGAAGACTGCTCAATTTTTGACCGTGTTGATGAGGGAATCCCTGGATCATTGTAGCTCATCGTGGAGCTACTGTGTTCTCCAGATGGGGGGTACACAGGGAGCCGTCCCTGCTGGGAAAACACATTGATTATTGCTAGCAGCTGGATAAATTGACTTGGGTGCAATCAGCCTGCACAATACATGGATCAAATCTCAGCCTGTCCCTGCTGAACTGGCCGAGATTCAAACCATCAATGGCTGGCTTTAAATGCTTTGCCTGGCAAAATTCCCAACTTTTCCTACTTTTAACTTAGACCTGATTGCCCTGTTAGCACTTCATATAAAAACATATGATCTTATATAAATTAAATATGGCCAAGAAATATTTTCATCACAAGCACAGAGCAATTTGTGATAACCGAACTACCCACAATTACATCATACATCCAACAGTCAACACACATTGTATCTGCTCAAGAGGGGGTTCTCAGTAGCCTGCAATGACCACTAGAAGCCATATAACGCACAGTAACAGTGTGGAAAATCTCCCAAATCCCCATTCTGTGCTAAGAGAACTATTCTGGCCTATTCTGGGTTTTTTTTCAGCCCTAGCTGTAGTTAAATCCTTTATGAAAGCCATATTTCCAGCGATAATCATGCAGTAGTGTGTATACTTTTGGCATTACTTAGTCATTGGTGCCATTGGCCATTAAGCTCTTCATATTTGAAGAATGGACAGCAGCAGTCAATAAAAGTAGAATAACAGACAATTTTTTTTTTTTAAGTTTTGCATAGAGTATCAAAAAGTTACAACATATGGCAGATTTTTGTTACTGTCTGTGTCCCCACTAAAGATCTATTGCCTCACTTCCTGTCTAGGTGATCAGTGCCACTATACAGGAGATGCGGGGACTCTCCCCTATGAAGAGACTTAAAGTGGTTGTAAACCCTGTGAAGTGACTGGCCTCAGGTGATACACAGAGATGAAACACATCATCCTACATAAGTTGTACCTGTTTATCTATAACCACCTATCTCCTACATCCATTCACAGTGCATTCAGAGTTTACACAAGATCTTTCAGCTTTGAAAAGCAGGGGGTGGGGGGCTGAAGTTACACTCAGTGAGAAGAGCTCTGAAAGCTGATTGGATGGAAGGGACACACCCCCTTTCACACACCACACAGGAACAGAGCTGAGGCTGTCAATCACAAATCACAGACTGTGCCCACCCCTGTCACTATTTTTCTCTTGGTGTCAGGAAAACTTGTCAGAAGTGACTCATGCTGATAATAACAGAGGAATGAGGAAATAGAAATTACACTTAGTGCTCTAGACTGAGACAAGTACACTCTATAGAGGGATATGCTTTGTTCATATTCCATGTTCGAGGTTTACAACCACTTTAAAGCAATAAAAACTCAACAGAGTTTCGGACCCTTGTCTGCTTTACTAAGCAGAGTGTTTTATGGCTGTTGATATTCCATTTGCAGAGACCTCCTCTTATTTTTTGTCTTGGTGGCTACCAACCCTTGGGCATTAAATGAGGGAGTTCCTCCCAAGAGGAACCAAGACAGCAACAAAAACACATTTGTCAGTTCTAATCTTTCCCCACACTATCCAAAATATAAAATAGTCTGTCTGGAATTACAGTAGTGAGCATCACCAACAGTACACACATTTTTGCATGAGTTCCCATCTCTGAGGTTTCTATCCAGGGGTTGTTCCGTGGGTGTACCAAGGATAAAATACTTACCGCTGGCAAACTCTCCCCCAAAGCTATTGTTACAACTGACTCTTGGGACATCAAGGGAAATGTATGAAGGTTGAACCGTATGACACTACAGGACCCATACATGCAGGCAACATCTACCAAAGATTCTGTATTCTGAAGCATGCATCTGTATCGATATTAACAAATGTAGGGGAATACAGCTGGCAAGAGGCAACACTAGTTCCATGCCACCACCCTAAAACAGAATTGCTTCAGAATATTCTGAGAGGATAGTTGAAAGGAAAAGAGAAGGCTGCAGAGAAAGCTCAAGCACAGTAGTTACAACAAGTACAAAGCAGTTCCGTAAGGCCATGCAAGCAGTAGAGGTATACGACTAAAAAGACTGCAGTTAGACAAAAACAATGGTTTTAAATGTGCAGTATCAAAGTTTATTTTCCCCTGGTTTAATTGTTTTCAGATCTTCTTGATGTGGGATCTCAGCGCTGTGTTGTTGTCACTGGCCGCCACAGTCCTGCAAGAAAGTGGCTGCGCTAGCCTAACGCCATTGCTAATGCTGCTCCTCCTTGTATCATGCTGAAGAGCAGAGTGGCCAGCATGCTCTGCCTAAGAGACTGAGAATGTCACCTTCACAACGCTCAGCCTCCATCACCACTGGTACTGGGGGTCCTCAAGGTGCTTCCAGACCTGACCACTCCTTAAAGTTGCTTCAAGACTACAAAAGTAGAATAAGCTACAAATGACTAAAGCAAAGGCATGTAACTATTGTTATGGATGGTGATAGAAATGGATTCTGCACCTTTAAAACACCAGACAAGTATAAGAAAGCAGTAAATAAGTCACGTGGCTGATTGGCTGGTGACAGAGGAGAAACCAGTAAATATTACCAGATACAGTATTATAAAGGCCATTGTGGTGCACAAATGTCCACTAGAAGGAGAGAGGACCTTAAATCCACAGGGCTTTGTGTATTTGGGTGTACTACATCATACTAAGGAGTTGTTGAATCAGATGAGGAAGAACTTATACATTAAAGAGTATGTAAACCCAACATTTCATGATTCTGATATGTGCCTGCTGTACCATGTACTTGTATGAAAAACTATCCATATATTTGTGTATTCCTTTGTGTGAAGTCACTGGTGTTCCTGCCAGTGCCTCTTCTCTCCTATTAAAAACTGACTACACTAGGCATGAGAGCAAAGTGTGGTCAGTTCTCTAGCTGTCTTGGGAACTCAGTGTGCTCTCCTCCAATGATCAGATTTCTGCTCACAAGCCCCCCTACACAGCCATTCACTGGGAAGTTCAGTGCCCTGCTGTTTCTCTTCCCCTAGCTCTATGCTCTCAGCTGCATAAGGAGCTTAGAGGGCATGTGATCGCTTATAAAACAAGGGGAAAAAAGTATTTATAATGTTTTTATATTTATAGACAAATGTTTAGCTTATTATTTCTATTTTGAACTGAATGGATTGTTTACAAGGTGAGGGTTTGCATACACTTTAATTACAGCCCTGGTAACATGGCACTGGTTCTTGGTCTGGCAATACGGTACAAAACCTGGCTGTGTACAAACAGTTATGATTCTGGTCTTAGCAACAATGTACCAAATCTAGCTGTGGAACCATGGCTCTGATTCAGGTCCTCGCAACAATGTACCAAATCTGGCCCTGGTGACATGGTTATGATTCTGGTCCTGTCAACCATGTACCAAATTAGGCTCTGGAAACACGGTTATGCATCTGGTCTTGCAATGTAGCAAAACTGGCCCTGGCAACATGGTTTAGATTCAGGTCCTGAAAACAATGTAATAAAGCTGGCCTTGGTAACATTGTAATGATTTTGGTCCTGGTACCAGTGTACAAAATCTGGCCCTGGTAACAGGGTTATAATCCTGGATATGATAGCAAGATGCTGGTTCAGGATCTAATTGTATGGTACTGATTCTGGTAACACAATAATAATTTTATTGGTTCTTGTGACAAGGTACTGGTTTTGGCACTCGTAAATGTGCAACAAAGTGGTTATGATAACATTAAACTATTCCTGGGTGTAATATCTATTTATATGCTAATTATTTTGGTTTTGCTCAATATTGTACAGGTTACATCTCTAGTACCTGTTTTTGGTAATATGGTATCACTTCTGCCATTGGTAAAATGGTTTTCATTCTGTTTTGGCAACATGGTACTAAATTTGGTTCAGCTGGGATGGTGTGGATTCTAGTTCTGTTTTTACGAAAGGTGGGATCATTTCTTGCTCTGGTAATATGGTTTCAGTTCTATTTCTTGTAATATAATAGTGATTGCAGCTCTAGAAACATACTAGTGATTCTGGCTTGGGTAACATTGTACAAATTCTGGTTCTGTTCATATGCTTTAGGTTGAGACTTTTGAACTGGTTATAATGCTAGTAACATGGTGTTGATCTAGCTATGGTATCATAGAGCGGTATCTGGTTCTAGTAACATAGCTTAGATTTAGGCCGTAGCAACCTGCTATAGATATGGGGTCCAGCGACATGGTGCTTATTATGAATCTCATAAGAGTAACAGAGGTTGATTTACTAAAACTGGAGAGTGCAAAATCTGGTGCTGCTGTGCATGGTAGCCAATCAGCTTTTAACTACAGCTTGTTCAATTAAGCTTTGACAAAAAAATAAAAACAAATGGAAGCTGATTGGTTTCTATGCACACAGCTGCACCAGATTTTGCACTCTTTAGTTTTATTAAATCCCCCCCATAGTTCAGACTAGGGCTCTAATAACATGGTACATAACACATATTCCTTGTTCCTGGGCTTAGATTGTACTGTGAAAGTGTAATCAAACATCAAAACTGATAGCAGCATTCTTGGAGAAAGGGAATAGACACAATCTATAGATACTTAACTACTAAGACAAATTTGACAACAGAAATAATTACAATGCACACTATATAAACTAGCAATGCCCTTTCTACAAGAAAAGCTATGGCAATGTATTGATGTTTGACAGGTACTCTCTCATTCTGGCCATTATCACAATGTCCCTTGTCACACAGCTCAGTCCTCTCTCAGTATACACTTAAAAGAAACACATACACAAAGCACATATAAAACACATTAAGTCATCACAAAAATGATCAGTACTAAGAAGAATAATATAATTAGGAAATAGAGAAAAAGATTTGCAAGAACAAGGTTAGCATATCTGCAGTTAATAACAATATATATGAGCTGAAATGATTCCTACACATATCCAGATCCAGGTTTAAGGCACATTTTTGCATTGGTAGACGTAGAAGGAAATATTCTGTGTAGCAGCAGTTACACCATACCATTCTAATTCAGTATGTTTTATCTGTAAATTAGCCTTCATTCCCTTCACCAAAAAGGTATTGTCACATATAGAAGGCTTTGAAGGCTCTATTACCTCAACCCTCATCTCTCAGTTGGGTGGAAACTGGACTGTTAAAGCACTTGTGGGCTAATAGGATACTATAGGCATGGATGGGTAGTCAGGCTAATCTCTGAAGACTCCATGGGCATATCATTGGTGTAACCAAATAGTGAGAGACCAGTTTTTGGGTGGATTATGTCTTTATAGCTCATCTCCAACCTAAATGTTTTGTTTTGTATAAAGAGGTAATGTTTTAGAACGTTTGTCACATTTTTAATGCTCTTTGCGTCTCCAATGGGAAATTTCCTCTCATTTCTTGACCTAAAGTCACCTGCCATCAGGCCACAAAAAGAGAATCCTCCCCACTAAAAGCACTACAGCCACAAAACTGGGCAAAGGTTTTAACCCTCCCCCACGCTTTTAATGCTGTCTGTGTAATTGTTGGGGAGACTTCCCTTCATTCTTCACAATGACAGGAAGTCAGGAAATTTGCTCCAGTGGAAACACAGGCATCCACAAACACCTCTCCCATTCTAAACAAAAGTTTAGGTTGGAGTTGGGCTTTAAGATTATTTTTAAATTGAGCCATATCTTCTGTGAGATACAACATTTAAGGACAGTTCCACCCAAAAGTTATATCTCACCGATTGTTAAATGCTGGAGTGGTAAACCAACCAATGGTTTCTTATATTTTTTGGGGACAGAAGCGGTGAGATCTTTGAGCTTAATTTTTAATGATGGCACACCTGCTACAGCTATTACGTGGAAGCTTCCATGCTCTGCCTACATTGTGGAAAGTATAACAGAAGTGGTAACACTTTAATGAAAACAGTGACAACAGGAAAATCAAAGGTGGGTGGGAACTCAGCAATGAAATTTATAGGTAAAATCTTGCTGCAGGAGTCCCCTAGATATAAAAGAAGCTAATCCATTACTTGGCTCACCTGATTCCACCTAAAATAGAATTTCCAACCCTATCCCACTGTGAAATGTATATAAACATCATTTTTAAATATTTCATTGGTACTTTTTGAATGCTGTATGTCAGCCAGCACTCATTCTACCTGTCCTTCAGTGTACAGTACTGCACAGGTTGTACTGTTAGTAGGACCTGAAGATGGTTGATCTCTGGGGAAGGAAACTAACCTTGCAGTGGGCCCCCTCCGTACTACTCTTTTTGCATAGGGGATGATAAATAAGGAAGTATACTTCCATTCTTCCTATCTCCCACAGAATCTGGCATTCTCCATCATTGTCCAACATCCTGGAATATGAGCAGGTTCTTGATGACCTCACATACAATGCAGTACTGCTTTTCATACATTGTACTGAATGAGGCCAAAGAGCTGCAACTTGTCAGGCTGCATAGAAAAGTGTCTTTAGGGGATCAGTCTAGCATGAAGGAAGCCTGTTTGAGTAAGGAATACGGTGAGTACATCACCCTATTCACCATCCTCCTAGGCAAAACATGTGGTTAACCATGGCAGTGCAGAAGGATCTCACTGCAAGTATAAAGTTTTGCTTTCCCCAGAGTCCAGATTTAATATGAATTTGTCCTATGAGAGCATGGAGGCTTTCAATGCTGACCTATCCTTCCAAAACTGTTAGTCATTTGACTTTCATGCTTACCCTTTAATGATTTGAGTTACTGACCAAGGACAAGTATGCAAGTTAGGATATCTGATTAGGATTTCAAATCTGCCTACTTGTCCTGGGTCAGTGACTCAGAAAGCAAAAATACAGTAGAGGAAGGTAACAACCAGTCAAAAAGCATTTTTTTTCAGGTACAGGTTAGCAATGGTAGGTCTACTTTAACATCTAGGGACATCTAGAAATATTTTTTTACCATCATCTGTGAAGTGGTAAACATTATTGTTAATGTACTTCCTGCTATAAAAAATACAAGTGAATACACAAATTTGTTTTTTTAATGCAGTTTATGTTCAAACCCAGAAAGCATGTCCGATGAGTGTATTTTTGTGGAGTTTCTTATTCCTTTGAAGGGTAGAATTTAGTGCAGGGGGTGTGACTTGAACATATTGGGGTGGATTTAGGAAAGGCAAATAGACTGTGCACTTTGCAAGAGCCACTGAAATCATTTTCTCCAGTGCTTAGTAAATGTGGTGAAGCTTTCCTTTGTAAAGCGTACCTAAGCAGGTGCAAAGAAAATGAAAAACATTTTTGCTTGCATATGATTGGGTGATGAAAAGTCAGCAGAGCTTTCCCAGATTTACTAAGCACTGGGGAAAACTAGTGCAAATGCACTTGCAAAGTGTACAGTCTGCCTTAAATAAATCCGCCCCACTGATTATAATGCTCTGTTCTGTCAATCTGCCAGTATGAATATCCACACTAAGAATTTCTGCGTTTCATTGTCAATCAGCTGCTTCGGCTTAGGTGTCATAGAATTGTTCTTAAAAACGGAATTTAATTGAAGAGCATTTATGCAACACACCAAGCACACCCCCATCCATTGGTTAGGTATTGATGGGATTTCCTTTTAACTCTTCTGTAAATAATGAGAAATTGATTTGAAGCTCAAACAATACCTACTGGTGGCATCTAAGAACAGGGTTAAAAAACTGTGTACATACATTTTATTAAGTTTCATTACTGATTATTTTTTGCTGTCCTGGTACTAATGAATTACAGGTACAGAGAACCAGTAATGGTGCGACACATGTAAATGAAGGCTTTTACACTGACCGCCTGCAGGAGGAACAACTTGGTCCAGCAACTTCATACTAGTCTTTTTCCAAATTTTCTTTATGACAGCCCTTAGCTCCTCATTGGCCTGTTCTAGATTACCTGGAAAGGAAAAATAGAAAAAAAATTATTTACAGAGACACAAGTGGTAATTATGAACACATACTCTATTGTATAAATTAGATTTTTGTATGCATTCTTTATTTTTCAAAACAAAAAGATTTTACACAGATTTCAAATGTGTACAACAGAAAAACTCCCAAAATCAAAATACAGTAGAGATCACCCTAAAGGGGGCATTCAAAATAGTAGACATATAAATATGACTTGGCTATGCAATTGGGTCAGTTCCCTAGGAAGCCTTCAGCCTTTGTAATAGTGTGCATTTGTCGGCCATACAGAACCATGGCTGCGTCTACTTCCTGATCTTACTAAAAGAAGTAACCTTTTTACTAGTCAGTAATCAAAGTATTTGATCCAAGGCAAGTCAAGGAGTCAGTTCATTCAAGCAAGGAGGATTACATTCTGCAATAAGTTGTATAACCATCAGGCTAATGGGTTTGGGGTTCAGTTCAAACCTAGAAGGCAGCTATCACTGCTGGGGTTCCCTGTACAGCAGCTGCATATACACATAGGGGTGGGGATGCTTGTGACATTCCTGACCTATATTTCATATATATATATATATATATATATATATATATATATATAAAATATGCTAGACTGTGATGTGAGAAACTGCTCAGTACAATACAGAAGTTGAATATTAATAAATAAAAGCTACCCATACACATTACAATCTAACCATGCAATCTCTTTAAACTTCCATTACATTTACTGAACCCTTGTAGTATGAGGGCCTACCTACACAATCTGTATACAGGTAGGTATGTATTTGCATTATGTAATAATAATGTAAAATTATATTGTAATGTGTATGATTATCATGTGATTTCAAGAAAGCACAGACAAACAGGTCTAAAATGATAACATTTTATAATCCCAACAATAAATGAAACTCTAATATTTCATTTTGTCGGATCTTATATTTGTCATTAAGGTGACTGTGAAGACAGCCTGTTGTTGAGGGTCCCATCTTTTGACAACTGTCTTGGTTATCATATTTGCTGCCAATAAATATCCAATCAGTTGAGAGAGAGAGAGAGAGAGAGAGAGAGAGAGAACAATCTCCGTGCAGGGAGAGACAGAACCGCCTACATAGGATAGTACTAGAGTCGGGCCACTTAGGAGAGAGTATAGATGCCCTGCACTCTGTACATAGAGCACCCTTAAGCCCTGGACTCTGTACGTAGCGCACCCCTAAACCCTGAGCTCTGTACATAGCGCACCCCTAAGCCCTGCACTCTGTACATAGCGCACCCCTAAGCCCTGCACACTGTACATAGCGCACCCCAAAGCCCTGCACTCTGTACTTAGCACACCCCAAAGCCCTGCACTCTGTACTTAGCACACCCCTAAACCCTGCACTCTGTACGTAGCACACCCCTAATCCCAGAGCTCTGTACATAGCGCTCCACTAAGCCCTGCACTCTGTACATAGTGCACCCCTAATCCCAGAGCTCTGTACATAGCGCACCCCTAAGCCCTGCACTCTGTACATAGCACACCCCTAAACCCTGCACTGTGTACGTAGCACACCCCTAATCCCAGAGCTCTGTACATAGCGCACCCCTAAGCCCTGCACTCTGTACATAGCGCACCCCAAAGCCCTGCACTCTGTACATAGCACACCCGTAAACCCCGCACTGTGTACGTAGCACACCCCTAATCCCAGAGCTCTGTACATAGCGCTCCACTAAGCCCTGCACTCTGTACGTAGTGCACCCCTAAACCCTGTGCACTGTACATACGGCACCCCTGCACTCTGTACTTAGCACACCCCAGATACAATCAGCCCTTTGAGAGCAACCATACTGCAGATGCAGCCTGCCCTAAACGTTAGTCTACTGTTAGGTACAGTATGTGTACAGAAGCATTTCATGTTCTTATGTAAACTAAAAAAAAAAGAGAAATAGAAGGGTCAAAAAGCACATGGTTTCCACAATTCTATTGTAAAAAAAAATACAAGGATCAATACTGCAGCATGTCACAATTGTAATGCTGGAAAGAACAAGAATTTAAACATAATATGAATTCCCATGTAGAACAAAAAGCACAGAAAGATGTTTGATCTGTGTTTTCTAGGGAAAAAAGGGACTAAAATGCATTGAAAACTGAAGTAGATTCCCATTGTTTGCACACAAATCCTTCCCAAGTTCCTCCACTCTGCCCTCCTCTGCTAAAATTGTATGGTTCCTCGTTTCTGTATTTCTAAAATGTTAATAACTCATTAAAAAAAGTTTTGCTTTGTAAGTACATACCCTCTGTTTTGATTTTCAGGGCTGTTCTAACCAAAGCGAACAATGTAGCATTAAACATTACTGTCCCATCGCTGTTCAGGGGCATATTCATGGCTACCAGTCTCTGGTGGAGGAAAACAAGTGTTAACACTTACATATGCTTAATTCATTCCAAATTAAACAGAAAGCCAAACTTTCAATCTTTGTCATTTTTCCATGCATGCATGAATCTAATTGGCTGCTATGTGGCAGTAGAGTCTGTCTCAATCCTATATAATTTTTCCATTAGAAATTTTAATACGTGTGCCTTTATTACGTTTTATTTTTCATTTGTGACTAAACTATGTTGATACACCATCACTAAAGTATATTGTAAATAACCTAGTATAGTCACAGCTCATAACCCCTGTGCAAAAACTGTTGAATGGCAAAGACAGTGCAATGTAATGCACAATGTAATGGAAGTGGCTGTTCAGAGGCTTAAGCCGGCCATAAATGTATTGAAATTCATCTGTTTCAGCAGGGAGCACAGAATTTCAATCCATTTATGGAAACCCTGGTTGTACAGAAGCCAATCAATTGACCTCTGTACAACAACCTGTTTTTTCAGAACAATCAGTGCTGCTGGCTATAGCCAGCAACACTGATCACTGTGTTTTGACAGCAGGGAGCCATGAAAACACAATAGCTCAATTGTAGTGATTCCCTTATCCACCTCCAATGTGTGAATAGGTAATTTGGCACATTTTGTTTTGATAATGAGAGATCACTGGAGAAGGAAATAATGTTTGGGAAGATCAAAGGAACCAGGCGACCAGGCAAGGGAAGAACAAATGCTAGGTGGTTGCACACATTGACTACAGCTTTGGGGATGACACTGGAGGATGCTGCCAGCCTTGCACAAAGCCAACTTCTTTATAGAGCTCTTACTCACGAAGTCACTCAGACTCAAGTTGATGGCATTTTAATAATAATAATGACCTGCCTTAAACTTGCCACACAGAGGGCAGACTTCCAACTAAAAGACTGCTGGTAAGACCTATTCTCTCTAAGGACCCTGGAAATCAATACAATCTTATTTCTAACTGAGATAACATGTACAGTAGATGTGGTGTATGGAAGATCTGGCTAAGATAACGAGCAATATCTGCACTCGATATCCATAGGTAGGCTACAATCAGATGGGAGACTAGCACATCCAGCGATCTTCAGTGGCATCTTGAATGACAGGTGTGTGTGTGAATAGCTGCGGTGGCTATGTGTGACTGTTTGCACATCCAGCGATTACGTGCAGTGATGGTGCCTGGATGCATTTTATCATGACCACTGCAGTTAATTACTGGTTGTGTGAACAGTTGCTATAACAGACTGACAATTGCCACAGCTATTACTGGCATTGATCATAGTTGGATGAATTTTGTGTATATCCAGCCACGATCACTGCAGTTATTTGCACACACCTGTCATTACAGATGCAGGAATTTGCTAATTCCTGATGTTGAAAATTGCACTGTATGCTAATTGCTCATCTGAAGCTATCTCCTTCATTGTCTGAGTCTAAAATTATTGGACAAGAAAGAAAGAAAGAAAGAAAGAAAGAAAGAAAGAGAGAAAGTAGGAGAGAGAGAAAGAAAGAGAGAGAGAGAGAGAGAGAGAGAAAGAAAGAAAGAGAAGAAAGAAAGAAAGAAAGAAAGAAAGAAAGAAAGAAAGAAAGAAAAAGAAAGAAAGAAAGAAAGAAAGAAGGGGGGAGAGAAGACACAAGACTGCGGGGAGCGTGGATAGGGCAGACACAGGAGGAGGAGGGGGGGGTGGGAGGAGGAGGGGCAGAACCAGCTTTCTTTCTCCTCTCCTGTCTGTGGTGGTGGAGGAACTGTCAGCACTGGGGACAGTCTACCCTGACAGATCCCCTGCAGCAGGAGATGGATAGGAGTGGCGGAAGGTGGCACATAGAGGAACAGGACCGTGCATTTCTCACCTGCCGCCACTGAATGCCTGCAGGAGGGTGAGGAGAAGCAGGCATTCAGTGACAGCAGGTGAGAAATGCACGGTCCTCTGTGTGCCACCTGGCCGCCCCTCCTATCCAGGTGGCCCCAGCCCACCGGGCAAATGCCCGGTGTGCTCTATGGCCAGTCCGGGCCTGCTTGCAGGTTATATACTTGTAATAAGGTAGGGATGTGATACATGGTCATCTAGATCTCTCTGATTATGTTTGCTGGCTGAAGGTGATGTGAAACTGTTGGAAAACTGCCTTAGTGTATGACAAGCATAATACTGACTTGCAAAAGATTTAGTGATTTTCTAGCCCTGACTCTCAAGCAAGGGAAAGCAAAGATGTATTTTTTTATCCGACAAAATTAAGGACAACATGAGTGTATACTACATTATGTACACTTTTTCTTACCTTACATGCAACTCTGTGTGGACATAATTTTCCAAAACCCAAAGGGGGCTGAATACGACGGAGCAATGTGACCACATCCAGGTGTTTTATCCTTCCTCTAGATTACACAATAAGAGTTAATGTTATATGCATGACATATATGAAGTGCAAGGCGCTTTGATAGGACATTTACTAGTGCATGTAAAGCTAATTCACATCTGTAATCAACAAAGCAGGCATTTAATAATGGGAACCTGTTTTAGAGGACTTGGAATAAGGTTACATTAAAAAACACTACCTGCAAATAATATCTTACATCTTAGATTTCAGAGTTCATTATTGTCTGGAACTTACTTCCTTGTTCCCTGTTGCCCTCATCACCTCCTAAAGTGGTTGTAAACCTCAGACATGAAATCTGAACAAAGCATATGCCTCTATAGTGTGTACTTGCCTCAATTAAGAGCGCTAAGTGTCATTTCTCTCTGCCACTTCATTCCTCTGCTCCTTCCAATCGCCTCTCAGAACTCTCCTTACTGAGGTCTGTAGTGTAATTTTAGCTGTCCACCCCCTTACTACTGAACTATCAGACAACCTTAATAGATCCTGAATTTTGAATGTATTTAGAGAAAAGAATACTGCAGATAAACTAGTCCAACATATGTAGGATGCTTTGTTCCATCTCTGTGTATCACCTGTAGCCAGTCACTTCACTGGGTATATATGTAAGGGTTTGCAAACACTTTAAGTCTCATGAGACTGTGCAGCCTGGGTTGGGGAAGATAGAAGTTGATGACATAGCAAATTACACAATCAGCTGACCAGAAATCTGGGATGTCTTATTGGCTCATCATTCTATATTGGGCATTGTAAATAATACAATGGGGTTGGTAGAGCCAAGGGCTGTGAACTGGAACTTGGGTAATGATGTTACAAATTTTAGTTACGGTACTTCATAAAGCTGAGGAAGCAACATAAATTAAGTCCTTAAAATATATTTTTCATTCAATGCTCACTTTAAGGCAAACCTGTATCAAACAATACAAATGTTTTCACTATTAGGGCTGCCCAGCAGGCACAGATACCTGCTGCTATCTTAAAAATGCCACCTGACACTCAGAAAGCCTCAACAATCCTTTTCAGATAACAGCTTTCTGAAAATCTTTATTGTGATAGGGTTTGGCACAGCTAACCACCCATCTTGACCACTAAATGGTAGTGCTTAGGACTGAAGACTGTCCATTTAGACACTGTTATTGAAAGGCTGGGGAGTGTACCCCATACAGCATACCCAAAGGGATTTCAGGTGGATAACAGTACACTGTCAGCAGATAGTGTATAGAGATTGGAGCAGGCACCTTATGATGCATGCTTTACAGCATAGTATGTCCTAATCTGCATTTTATCATTTTAATACATGTTTACATTAAATGTTATTTGTTGATACCGGCATGAAGACTTCCCATACCTGACCATTGTATTTCCTATGATGCTATAGAAAAATGTAATCCAAGAACTGCTCTAAAGGCATACATACAGGTGCACCTTGAAAAATTAGAATATCTTGCAAAAGTTAATTTATTTCAGTAATGCAATTTAAAAGGTGAAATTAATATATGAGATAGACTCATTACATGCAAAGCAAGATAGTTCAAGCCATGATTTGTCATAATTGTGATGATTATGGCTTACAGCTCATGAAAACCCCAAATCCACAATCTCAGAAAATTAGAATATTACATGCAATCAATAAAACAAGAATTGTACAAAGAACAAAATTGGACCTCTGAAAATTATAAGTATGCATATGTACTCAGTACTTGGTTTGGGCCCCTTTTGCAGCAATTACTGCCTCAATGCGGCGTGGAATGGAAGTTATCAGCCTGTGGCACTGCTGAGGTGTTATGGAAGACCTGGATGCTTCAATAGCGGCCTTCAGCTCTTCTGCATTGTTCGGTTTCATCTTTCTCTTGGCAATGCCCCATAGATTCTCTATGGGGTTCAGGTCAGGCGAGTTTGCTGGCCAATCAAGCACAGTAATCCCACGGTCATTGAACCAGGTTTTTGGTGCTTTTGGCAGTATGGGCAGGTGCCAAGTCCTGCTGGAAAATGAAGTCAGCATCCCCATAAAGCTCGTCTGCAGAAGGAAGCATGAAGGGCTCCAAAATCTCCTGGTAGACGGCTGCGTTGACCCTGGACTTAATGAAGCACAGTGGACCAACACCAGCAAATGACATGGCTCCCTAAATCAACACAGACTGTGGAAACTTCACACTGGACTTCAAGCATCTTGCAGTGTGTGCCTCTCCATTCTTCCTCCATATTCTGGGTCCTTGGTTTCCAAATGAGATGCAAAAGTTGCTCTCATCAGAAAAGAGGACTTTGGACCACTGAGCAACAGACCAGGTCTGTTTTTCTTTAGCCCAGGTAAGACGCTTCTGACGTTGTTTGTTGTTCAGGAGCGGCTTGACAAGAGGAATACGACATTTGAAGCCCATGTCCAGGATCCGTCTGTGTGCGGTGGCTCTTGATGCACTGACTCCAGCCTCAGTCCACCCCTTGTGAAAGTCCCCAACACTTTTGAATGGCCTTTCCTGACAATCCCCTCCTTGCTGCTTGTGCACCTTTTTCTTCCACACTTTTCCGTTCCACATAACTTTCTATTAATGTGCTTTGATACAGCACTTTGGGAACATTCAGCTTCTTTTGCAATTACCTTTTGAGGCTTTCCCTCCTTATGGAGGGTGTCAATGATGATTTTCTGCACAACTGTCAGGTCAGCAGTCTTTCCCATGATTGTGATTCCTACTGAACCAGACTGAGAGACCATTTAAAGGCTCAGGAACCCTTTGTAGGTGTTATGGCTTAATTAGCTGATTAGAGTGGGACACTTTGAGCCTAGAATATTGCACCTTTTCACAATATTCTAATTTTCTGAGATTGTGGATTTGGGGTTTTCATGAACTGTAAGCCATAATCATCACAATTATGACAAATCACGGCTTGAACTATCTTGCTTTGCATGTAATAAGTCTATCTCATATATTAGTTTCACCTTTTAAGTTGCATTACTGAAATCAATGAACTTTTGCATACTTTTGATATTCTAATTTTTTGAGTTTCACCTGTAGGATAACAGCTAAATGTATAGACCTCATACACCTTATACAGGCCTAAAGGGTCTTGTGTTTTATGGTGAACTATAGCACACACTACCCAAACTGTACATATGATAACACAATAGATGATGTAGAATAAAACTGACTTGGCCTCTGGATCATATTCAGACCAAATCCTTTTAAATTCATCCAGATGATGAGGACCCAAAATGGACCAATCGCGTGTCAAGTAGTCAAAGTTGTCCATGATGACAGCCACAAACAAATTAATAATCTACAAATAAAGAAAAACATTTAGCAAATGGATGTCCAAGTTTTCACTGTGCAATGCAAACATTAAGGTTACGGTAGTCAGTTGATGTTGTTAATGTGGACCTTTCACTAAATGTATAAGTAAGTCTCTTCTTTCCTCCTCCTACTAACATAATTTCTTATTTTTTATTTTCCTGGTTTCTTGCCTAAGCGACAGTGTCATAGCCCTCTCTCCACCTGCAGTCTCCTGGTGGGTCACACATCTCAGAAGGATGCAGACCTGCAAGTGATGAAATCCTGAATGATTTAGTGCCTGTGTAAAGGACACTATGGCAGCCATATTTTGCTTCTACCTCTGGATCCAAAACTATTTTTATATGCAATTGTGGCAGACCCAACTGGGACAAGGCTTTTGGAGGGGACTAGGAGCTAGCCTTCTACCCACTGATTATGGCCCATGGAGGAGACCAGTGATTTTTTCTGCTTCTACCGGTCAGAGCATAGAAAAGAGCCTCTGATTACATAGAGAGAGCAGATCATTCTTTAATGATGGACAACAACATAATGAATTCTGAGAGCAAGGCTTAGATTAATTCTCTAAATAAAGATAATAAAGCTTCCCTTCTGGAGTGGATGGAAAGCTGTAATATTAATCTTGTACAGGTTAATGCACAGAGAAAATATGGTGGCCCTCCTGCAGATTGGGTTGGAGAAGCTCCTCCACTTGGGACATAAATATTTATCAACAATCTCCCTCAAGAAATCTATGAAGGTAAATTATTCCACTCTTTCAGACTGCTGGAACATTGTATGAGTTTTTATGATGACTTTTCTACTGGACAGATTGTACAAATAAAAGGCAAACAACTGAAAGACGATATGTGTAATGTACTTTGTATATCCAAGGGTGTGGACTTGTTGCCAGGCTGGCAGCTTATTATTTAAATATTTGATTGTATAGACACATAGGGAATTTTATATTGATTTACTGATGAAATTACTGTTTAAAGTTTGCATTGTTTAGGATCATGTGATCAAGCTCTTATATGATTCTGGGTGGTATAAATTTTGGGTGAATTTTCAATGAAGAGAGTTCCAGTTGCACCTAAGTTAGCATCGTCTAGTTTTTGGGTGCAATGCCCAGCTATAATACCTTGTTCCTGTGAGGAAGTAGTTCTCTGAATGAAGCCCCCAGGCGGGGTGCCAGGTGGTCCATCACAGCAATGTTCACTAAAGTTAACTAGCAATCATTATTTTGTAAGCCTGTGTATGGCAGATCCAAGTAAAGTAGTGTGTACTAAATGAGGGTGGTGGATGGAAGCAGCACTCTGGCCTCCCTACCACGGTCATTGAAGTGTCTTTGAATGACATGTCATTGAAGTGTCTAGTATTTCTCACTTACCAGAAATGCACACAGCATGTAAAATGTGATGAAGTAGACAATGGCAAAATTACTCCCACAGGTGTACTCCTCTCCAAGGTTGTAATCTGAGTCTGGGTCACAACGCTTCCCTGGTAAACAAGCCAACATTATGTCCTGCCAGGCCTCACCAGTGGCACACCTTGGAACCATTACAAGAGAGATGGTAGAAATCAGTATACATAAAAAATAGTATTAAAAAGCTTTAATAAAAACTTAAATACATACATAAATATAAAATTGTACAGAAACACAATCACATATCCGAAGCTTAAATTGAACCTGTCAGCGATTTTAATTATTTTCAATTCTACCCGAGATCAAACACCATATGATGCCTACTATTTGCCCAACTATCTGTCCTTCCCTGTCCAGCGAGAGTATCTTAATGGCCAATTTGGGCACCCTAGCAAAGTAGACCCAAGATGTTAGGAGAATGTAGAAGGCCTTTAAATGAAAGGAAATTACATGCAGCTTGTTTTCCTTTTACTATTAACATTTTCAAATTGTGAAAAAACTGTGATTGGGTTCAGGTAAGTATCGGGGGCTGGAGGGAAAGCTGCATATAGAAGGGTTTTTACCTTTACCTAGAATGCATTAAGTTAAAAAAGCTTCAGCCTTTACAACCACTTTAAATCTCAAAAGAAGATGCTCTAGCACTATGCAGGAGCGCATTCTCTGGGGATCTGGGATCCTCAAGTCTCAGAGCCTGCACTATTAAAGCGGAGTTCCAGCTGGAAAAAAAAAAATAAATAAAAGTCAGCAGCTACAAAAACTGTAGCTGCTGACTTTTAAAATACAGCCACTTACCTGTCCCTTGGTCCAGTGGTGTCCTCACCATGGCTGGTTTCACTGACCGTCTTCTCTCCCTTGCGCCAGCATCTTCAGTGTGGGCACCCGGCTGTGACAGCTTGCCCACTGCACATGCGCGAAAAGTGCTGAATGACCCGGTAGTCTTCTGGAACTTGTCACGTGTCCCCAGAAGACTACGGGGAGGGAGGGGAGGAGGACAACTTCCGCTTCCGATCGCCTTAGGCGATCGCAGCGGAAGTGGGAGTGGGTACCTGTCAAATTTGGGTACCCGTTCCCCAAAGGTGCCAATCCTTAATGGGGAACAGGGGACAAAGACTTAAATAGTAACTTCCCCTTTTGGGTGAAGCTCCACTTTAATTAACATTCCCACCAAAACATGTCTACCCATTACAAGATGTTCCCTTTATACCAGTTTGGTTACACCTTAAAATTTAATTACCTGGATACATATAGAGTGTGAATCTTCTTAATAAGAACACAGACATGAATACAAATCTCAAAGAGTACAAGATTTTTGAAGGAAAAAATTGACTCATAGCAGGAAAAAAAATCATCTTTTTCTGCTATAAATCAATTTTATCATTAAAAACCTACAGACTCTTGGTTGTTTTTTTGGCAATCTCATTGGATTGTACAGTATGTATATAGATTCTCAACTGTGGGCTCTTCCCTGTTTCTAAGGGAAGTTCCTGTTTTGTGGAGTGCTGCTGGACCGGAACCAGTGTACCCAGTTAAAGTTTCAATGAAAATCTGATTCCACTGCCCCATTTTCTCTTGGGTTAGGAACACAAATCTGACAAGGCTTCTTTTCCCTTACCACATTTAAAAAATTATATATATATATTAGTTTTTATATACACTTTATATACAAGTCAGAAATGTCTGCACCCATATTTATATCCTTAGTGCTTCCTTTAAAAAAACAAATGGGTGTTAAAAAAGTAATTACCTGAATAAAAGGAGCACCGCCTGTGGAAAGGTCTGAAAATTGTTGTTCCTGTTTATCTGGGTGTTATCCCTCATTGCAATTTTACCAAAAACCTGCACAACACAATTACATATTATTATTACATTTTAATGAAACTAAGCACTTACAAAATGTATGGCTCAAATCCCACCGCACAGAATTCGCATGTGGTTTGCACAGGAATGCGGTACGGTTCCTGTTCAAATCACATGTGGTATGCTGCACCGCACAAGTGTGAACCCCAGGCTAATACATTATACAGTCTATATAATAGCTGTTGATAAGGCCTACAAAAGTGTTTATTACATATATGTTATCATTGTCTTTTGAATCTTTGTACTAAAGAATCTGGATTTTATTGGTGTTGTGTATTTGATCTCTAATTTGACACAATTAGCGTACCACAATATATTGTTCCTCCCTCATTAAGGGCCTTGAGGAACAAAACTCTTGGGATTTCTGAATAATTTAAGACAAATTTGGGACAGGATTCTCTGCATTATTGAACCTTATATGTTATTTTAATTCTCACAAATAAGGATACACGCCTGACAGATTTACAACACTCCCAGTAGGATGATGCCTAGATTACACCCACAGTGAGGGGTTTTTACAAGGTAATCTCCGTTATAAAAAAAATTCCTAGCACAAAAGCTGGTGAAATATCACCCAAACACTTACTACATTATATACTGCAGTGTATGAGCCCCCTTATACCTAATTTCACTAGAGATTATCTGATAACAAGAGAGAAGGCCAGGTCTGAGGCTCTATCAGCCATGAACAATCCCTCCGCTAAGTTCCTCAGACATGTGTCAATAAGTCTATTTAAAGACCTTACTATTACTGAGAACACAAGCAATTTATCAGCTGGTGGGTAAATGAGTTCACTGCGGAATAAATCTAGCAGTAAGATAAATGTAATTATTTACTAACAACAACTTAATATGTAGTTATGTTTATAAAGCAGCAATTGTAATGACTGAAAGTGAACCAAATCTGCACAGTATATATACACACACAGCGGGTAAAATAAGTATTGAACACGTCCTCATATTTCTCAGTAAATATATTTCTAAAGCTGCAATTGACATGAAATTTCCACCACACGTTGGTAACAACCCATGCAATCCATACATACAAAGAAACCAAAACAAATAAGTTCAGAAATTAAGTTATGTGTAATAACAATGGAATGACACAGGGAAAAAGCATTGAACACGCTAACTGAAATGTATTTAATACTTGATCCAAAATCCTTTGTTGGTAATAACAGCTTTAAGATGCCTCCTGTATGGAGAAGCTAGTCGAATGTATTGCTCAGGTGTGATTTTGGCCCATTCTTGCACACAGTCTTCAAATCTCAAAGGTTCCATGGGCCTCTTCTATGAACTCTGATCTTTAGTTCTTTCCATAGATTTTCTTTTGGATTCAACTCAGGTGATTGGCTGGGGCACTCTAGCAGCTTTATTTTCTTTCTTTGAAACCAATTAAGAGTTTCCTTGGCTTTGTGTTTGGGATCATTGTCTTGCTGACATGTCCACCCAACTTCATCATCCTAGTAGATGGCAGCAGATTTTTATCAAGAATATCTTGGTACATTTTTCCATTCTTCCTTCCTTCAAGCATATAAAGTTTGCCAGTACCGTATGCTGGAAAACAGCCCCACACCATGATGTTCTCACCTCCAAACTTCACTGTTGGTATGGTGTTTTTGGGGTGATGTGCAGTGCCATTTGACCTCCAAACATGGTGTGTATTATGGCATCCAAAGAGTTCAATTTTGGTCTCATCTGACCAGACTATATTCTCCCAGTAGTTCACAGGCTTGTCCAAATGTTGTGCAGAAAACTTTAAATGAGCTTCAACATGCTTTTTCTTCAGCAGTGGAGTCTTGCATGGTGAGCGTGCATACAGGCCATGGTGGCTGAGTGCGTTACATATTGTTTTCTTTGAAACTATTGTACCCGCTAATTCCAGGTCTTTCTGAAGCTCTCCACAAGTGGTCCATGGCTCTTGGACAACTCTTCTGATAATTCTTTTCACTCCTCTGTCAGAAATTTCACGTGGAGCATCTGGTTGTGGCCGGTTTATGGTGAATTGATGTTCTTTTCACTTCCGGATTATGGCCCCAACAGTGCTCACTGGAACATTCAGAAGTTTAGAAATCCTTGTGTAACCAATGCCATCAGTATGTTTTGCAACAATAAGGTTGCAAAGCTCTTGAGAGAGCTTTTTGCTTTTACCCATCATGAGGTGTATCTTGTGTGACACCTTGGTAATGAGGCCATCAGTTGAGACTGAACCAGCTGATATTAATTTGCAGTGACAAGGGGCAGGATTGCTTTCTAAGTATTGATAGATTTCAGTTGGTGTCTTGGCTTTCCATGCCTTATTGCACCTCCATTTCTTCATGTGTTCAACACTTTTTCCCTATGTCATTTCATTTTATTACACATAACTTAATTTCTTAACTTATTTGTTTTGGTATCTTTGTTGCTGGTTGAAGGGCATTTATTATACTACCTCTCTTGTTGGGGTCTTATGTTACTGGGGGATCTACTGTTTTGGGGGGTGTATTTTAAGGTTACCCACGCAACTATTAATCTGCAAATAATCACACTGAAAACAAATGTGTACAACTATACTGTAAACTGGGTAGTTGCTGTTCTAATGGTACCCCATGTACCATACGCTGGATATTAATAAAATAAAAGGCTGCGCTCACCCTGTACACCTCCTAAATAAATTATAGTGCACATCTCAATAATAGTATATTCATCATCGTGCATGCAATCAAAAATTTGTAAAGGTCTTTTAAAGTGTCCTTGTAAATCCAAAACAGTTGCAATGCAATAAAAAGTGCCACATCACAGTGCAAAAGTGTGCGATAAATCTTCTTAAAAATAAAGTGATTCGTGCCTTACCTGCATGCCAATTACAGCATAGATAAAAAACAGCATTGCTATAAGCAGGGCAACATATGGCAAAGCCTAAGGAAATAATTTAAAAAAAGTTAGAAACACAAGATCTTTACAATACAAAACTACACGAAACACAGAAAATTCACAAAATAAACAATTACCTAAACTTAAAGAGTAACTCCACTTTTGTTGAAAAAAAAAAAACCATTTCCCTCTGGGTGATCTATGTACATTGCAGGGATTCCTACCTTTTGTTATAATAAAGAAACAGCTATTTATTTGTCTGTGTCCATGTGCAGAGTGAAGGAGTATGGTAATTGCTTTATAAATATCAATCAGCTGCTGCGCCTGCAGGGCTCTAATGAGGAATATTGCAGGGTTTGCAGCCCTTTACACATGTTTTCCTTTTGGGAGTATCTCACCAAAAATGACATTTTTGTTGAAGGGGATGCTCAAAATCTAACTTGTATTTTAGTGCAGAATTCCGGGTAAATCAGTAAGTCACTCACACAAGCAGGAAATTACATTTCTGGGGGGTGTTCCATACACCATCTGTTTACAGAACACCTCCAGGTAGCCATATTGCATTGCATTTTACAGAAAATGACAGCACTGCATATTGAAAAGTAAAGGTCATTTTTAATAACATACAGTTACAATATGACTTGTGTACCAATTGTATATGCTATTATTTATTTTATTTTTTTGCAATTTGTTCCCCATAAAGTGGAGTTACCCTTTAATTCTAAATCGATGGAGGTCAGGTAATAGGGCAAATGCCCTATGAGACTCTCTTGTGAGCAATGATGGGGAAAGATTTTCTATTTCATCAAACTTATTACATTTGCAAACTCTACCCACATGGAAGAAAATATATTTAAAATATATTATTCCCAAATATATTGACATATATTTGAAATGCTACAATTTTGGCCATATTCAATATATTAAAAAAAAAAAAAAAAAAATATATATATATATATATATATATATATATATATATATATATATATATATATATATATACTGCATGTTGAAATGTGTTTTTACTACAAGATATATGAAAAATATTTTTTAAAAATATATATATTTTTTAAATATATTCTTCAGATTTTTTAACATATAAAAAAGTCATTTTACCATATATTTTTACATATATTTGTAAATGCATTCCGAAAATGAACAATAGGAACCTCCTGCGCTACTCAAAAAATGGGACTAATAACAATTATGGGGAGGAGGCTGCTGACACTGAACCATATACCAAATGGATAATGTGCAAGATATAAAGTGAATTAGTGCAGCGCTACCTCAACACTACACTACTCCCTCACTGTCTTATCCCAAAAATAGATTAAATAAACCAATAAATGATGTACAATAAATACGTAAAATAGAATAGAATGCACATAAAAACAGTTTGAATCATCCAAAATGACTCATACAAACTGTATAAGTGACTAATGAATGCCACTGGTGCAGTTCAGTGAATACAACAAGCCATTCTGTCACAGTTCATAAAGTAAGCTGATCTGTTAAGTGATCCATAGTGGAACAAAAATTGAATAGATAATGTGTAGATAAAGAAACGCCAGTGAAAGATTACAAAAAGGTAGATTTGTATTTTTAAAGCCATACAGTATATTTGAAATGTATTTTTAAAAATATTTTTCATATATTTTGTAATAAAAAACACATTTAAAAATGCAGTATATTTATTAGTCCATTTTTGGAGTAGTGCAGGAGGTTCCTATCGTTCATTTTTGGAATGCATTTACAAATATATGTAAAAATATATGTTAAAATGACTTTTTTATATGTTAAAAAAATCTGAAGAATATATTTAAAAGATATATATTTTTAAAAATATTTTTCATATAATTTGTAATAAAAACGCATTTCAACATGCATTGTATATATATATATATATATATATATATATATATACATATTTATTTATTGAAATATATTTTGAAATATATTGAATATGGCCTAAATTGTAGCATGTCAAATATATGTCAATATATTTGGGAAGAATATTTTTAAAATATATTTCAAATATATTTTTCTTCTATATGGGTACTTCCTAAATTGCGGTGCTGCATAGTGGTTTTGTTTTACTGCTCCTACTTACACAAACCACAAAAGGGGACACCCCAACAGCTCACAGATGGCGCTCATTTATGACAAGACGAGAATAGGTTCTACACATATCTTATTTTTTTATTGTTATTTCATCCAGACCTGCGATCACAACTACTCTGGACTTACCTGGAAAGACTTGATAAATGTCCACAGCAAAGTCCGAATGCCTTCACCCCTGCTTAAAAGTTTCACAAGTCGCATGACTCGGAAGAGTCGGAAGAACGTGATTGAGATACGAGCACTGTCTTCTGAGCTCTGAAAGGCATCATGCAAATCAAGCCGGAGACAAGAGTAGGTGGACAGACAGCACATGGGACAGAGTAAGCGGCACACAGATATAATGTTGAGCAAGAGACAGACCATTGTTATGTTTTAAATCTGGGGTAGACAACCTCATTAGCTGCGCTGAACTGCAAACCCCTCTTCTTTAGAACATTTTGAATGGAATATAGTTCCGCAGCAAGCAGGTAAGATTGTCTAACCTGTTTTTTTTTTTAGTCTTCCCATTAGTTAAAGCACAGCAGTATATTACTTAGTGTGCAAAGAACCTGTCAGTCGTGCCAAGCTGCACATGCTCAGACAGACTTGGCTTCCAGCTGCATTCCAGGAACACGCACATGCATTTCTCAGCCTTGATTCTCACTGAGCTAAATGAAATGGGGGCCAGTGTACCCATTTCAAACTTTTTTTTTCCTAGACTCAATGATAAAACAGGGCAAGCTGGCAGGAAATGATACAGAATAAAGGCAAGTAGAGGTCAATCAACTCCGGGCACCACTTATCTTACCGGGTCCCCAGTGGGGCCTTGTTCTGTTGGCATAGGCTTTAAGAAATCAAGAACATTACATATTAAAAAAAAATTCCCAGGAGGAACATGAAAAAAAAAAAAACACACTGGATATGGAGGGAGCAACGTCTCATGAGCAGAACTTTCTACTGGGTTTGGGCCATAGGATTAGATGGTTGCTGTTGCGCCAAATGATGTTTAAAAGATATGCCATATCAAGATTCTCATCCGAGATTCCTTAAGGTTTGGGAACCTTGGATACATTATTCCCTGCCGTCCCTGCCTCCTACTAGCTATGGCCTCTTATAGTCGTTGCCTGTGCTAGCCCTGGATCCATGACTCTTCTAGTCTTCCTTTCTTCTTCCATGTTTTATCCCTGAATATTTCTTCCTTCCTTATTTCTTTCTATGTTCTTATATTTTTTTTTTTTTTTTTTATCAGTTTGGGTTTTTTCCCCATATGTTCTGAGCTGATACTTCTCGGTTGCGGTTTTTCATCTTTTTTTTTTCCAGTAATATGATGGATTGCTGCTGCTACTATTTGGTTCGGCTTTTTGCCATCCCTCCTTGTTGTCATTGGATGTTCCATTATTTGGCTAATAAACCCTGCTGATTTGTATCTGCTTATGTATGCTATTGTTCCGCTCTGCGCCTGTGTGGGCGTATCATGAGCTTGTTGTATTATAAAAACAAAAACTTCTTTAATAAAAATATTGAAATAGAAAAAGATATGCCATATCAAAACATAAAGGGCAATAACAAAAAGAGACTAAAATTAGGGTGTTCAATCATTTTTTTCCATGAAGTTAGAAAACCAGTTCTCAGAATGATCTGATCAGCTTTGTACTTTGACGGATTCTCTTATTCCTTTATGCTTCTGCAGATAGTGAAAACATCCATTATGCCCATTCTGAATAACCTCTGATCTGGGCTTCTTGCAAGGAAGGAGCCCCAATCACAGCAGTATCCACAGAATGCTGACTCCATGCACTCTGAGGGCACTCTGAGCAAACCTATACTCAATGATAACTAAATGTCTTGCTGGGTCATGTGATCTTTGGTGAAGGAGATGATCGGAGAAAATATGGGTGGCTCAATGACTATCACTTGACCAACTGCCTAATTTCTTCATTATAGGGGCCATCCCATTATGGAACCAGGGCAGCATTTTCTCCATAACAGGTAGGCATTTTAGCCTTCTATTAATGAGTATTAATCTAGCCAAGCAATATTGTAAACACATTGGAATTTGAAAGTGGTCAGTCAAAGCGGAATTCCACTCACACTGTCAAAAATAAAAGTCACAGCTACAAAACTGTAGCTGCTGACTTTTACAAAACAGCCACTTACCTGTCCCTCGGTGTGTCCCCGGCAGCCCATTTCACCAGCCATCCTGTATTCCAGGAGGCTGGCATCTTCAGTGTGGGCACTCGGCTATGACAGCTTGCGGCTTCACAGCCGGGTACCCACTGCGCTTCATGAATGGTCCTGTAGTCTTCTAGGACCTGTCACGTGTCCCAAAAGACTACAGGGAGGGAGGGAGAACACCTTCCACTTCCGATCGCCTAGGCAATTGGACCGGAAGCGGGAGCGGGTACCTGTCAAATTTGGGTACCCGCTCCCTCCCGCCCCCCAAAGGTGCCAATCCTTAATGGGGAATGGGGGAGCAGTCTTTAAAGCGGAACGTCCCCTTTTGGATGGCGCTCAGCTTTAAGTCTGCATTTTAACTTGTACCTACAGGTAAGCCTATAATAAGGGTTACCTGTAGGTACAGTGAATATTTAGTAAACTTGCAGTGTTTGGGAGATATTGACATGGGATGCAGCGGGTGACGTCACCAGCGCATGCGCTCTGAAGAGACAGCATACTCATGTCATCCCTTCAGAGCTCCGTGCTGCGGCCGTGACACTCGTGTGCATCATGGCAGCTTGGCTATTTATACGCCCACAAGCCTGGATGTAAGACCGGGTAAAGATGGCAGCAGTGACAGCGCACTGCTAGAGGGCTTCATTGTAAGATAACTATGCCAAAATAGGCTAGTATGGGGTGCACTTAACTTGCAAGTGGACTTTTTTTTTATCTGTTTATGAACTTTACTACTGCTTTAAAGGGCATGGCAACCTAGCAATGGCTTACAGAGTAAATACTCACCTGTTTTCACACATCACTCCCTAGTTGTCCAGATGAACAAGTAACCACTTTGTTATTAACAGAAATAGTACTGAATGTCCCTCGCCAGTTAGGGATCACTTATCTGGTCAGCAAGGGAGTTATACTTAGAAATATCTACGTAATCAAAAATAGAACCATAAGCTTTGGAAACATAAAGTGACAGTCCAAAAAAAATGTAACAGATAATAAACATCCAATCCAGTATATGTTGCGTTATCATCCAGCCATAATCAACACCGTGCTTGGCTTGTGGCCCCACTCCCTGCTCACCTTGATCATTGAACTATAAATTATAATAGGCCAAAAACACGCAATATAAGGAAAATGTGTCTCCAAATTTCTGATCCGTTCCTTCCACGTATTAAGCTTCTTTATACTCCTGATCCGTGCAAAATATAACAAAAACATACCATAGTGCAACACCATTTTGTATAACCAAAAATTGAACGTGTTACAGTATCCACTCACATTAGCCAAATTATATGTGACTCCGAATTATGGTGAACATATATGCATTACTCCACCATTCCGACTATATTGTGGTGTTTCCCCATCACCGGGTAGGTGCACCATGCACTCACCTTCGTCCCTGACCTAACGGATAGGTCATACATGCTTAGCCATGAAACCAGATTCTGCTTATTCACTGCCCACCCTTAGTAGCTACTTCATTAGTTCTGGCCCTTTAAGGGAACATGCTCTAAGATATCCAATGGAATTAAAGTGTATATGATCAAAGGGAATAGATCATAGTGCTACCCCATAAAATATGAACACTTTATTCAAGTACAAAATGCACTTACAAAAGTAATGAACCAACAGTTACCCTGAAGAAGTCACATGACTTGTGACGCAACATGCCGGGTGCAGCCTAGTGATGTCACTTCCGGTCATGCTCAAACTGGCATGAGTGATGTGAGGAACCATTTTGATTGACAGCCATGATATGCTGTTGCTTCTTTACTTTTGTGATGCATATATGTTCTCCATAATTCAGAGTCACATGTGATTTGTCTAATGTGAGTGGATATTGTAACATGTTTAATTTTGGTTATACAAAACGGTGTTGCACTATGGTATTTTTTTGCTATATTTTGCACGGGTCTGGAGTATAAAGAAGCTTAATACATGGAAGGAACACGTCACGGATCAGAAATTTTGGAGACATATTTTCCTTATAAAGCGTGTTTTTTGGCCTTTTTTTACAGGTCAATGGTCAAGGTGAGCAGGGAGTGGGGTCACAAGTCAAGCAAGGTATTGATTATGGCTGGATGATAACGCAACATATATTGGAATGAATGTTTATCATCTGTTAAATTTTTTTGGGACTGTCACTTTATGCTTCCAAAGCTTATGGTTCTATTTATGATGAGATTTTTTTCATTTATTTCTTTTCAGTGTGAGTACACCAGAGTAGTGAGTGCAGCAATATTCTTCCCTGATATTATTACTATAGTTGGAACATAGCAGCGCATAGGTCTTTACCATTTGCATACTTATAAATATGTATTTACTCTGCTCTGCAAAGCAATCCTGTTGATGGCAAATTGCCACTAGCAGATTGCTAGTGTGCTATAGCCGTAAAGCAGTGCTAAACCCAAAACCAAACGTTCTGTATTGCAGCTTATGAATCATTAGATGTGGCAGCTGTATTAGTATTTTTTTTAGGTATTTTTCCCTCTGTTTTCACCTGGTAATCTGCCAGAAACACATCTTCCTGAGCGCACCGGAAGCACATTTGTACAGGGGCATTGTCAGTTTGGGGGGAGGGGAGTTTTAGATGTACTAACAGATTTAAACACACTAACAAATTGAAGCTGAACTCCATCTAACACTTAATAAGCAGTTACAGCAAACAGTTTTTTTTCCTTTTGGTAGAAAGGCTTTTTAACCGCCTAGGCAGTGTGAAATGGTTTGTCTCATCCCTGTAACTGCAAGAGCGCTGGTTCTGTTAAAAAACAATAGACTTACTGGCTGGATCCCCAGATGAAATAGAAGAAAGAAAGACCAAAAATGAAAATGAATGCAGCTATCATAGCTAAGAATTGGTAAGTTGCAACATAGTAATACATGTTTGCTTTTGGGTTTAATTCCACTCTAACATTTAAGTATAAGTCCTCTTTGAGAAAGTACAGCTCTACAGTATCTACAAGCATGAAGGAATAAAATAGATAAACTCTATTTACAAAGTTAGGCTTTAGGAACAGGTGTCTTCTCCACACTGTCTGATGCCTGGGAAATCTCTTCTGCCTAAAGCACATGGACAGGTTTGGAGGAACCTTGGTTCACCACCTGTA